AGGGAGAAGTCACATCAGTGCATTTAGCATCTCAAATGGCTAAGAGATGAACTGGACAGAACAGAATGCAGAAATAAGAACACTGAAAGAAGGTCCCTTTGGAGCCTTATTGCAAAGTTTTTGCTTGGTGGCTGTTTCTTGTCCCCGAAGGCTGAATCCATTAGTAATCACAAAGTACACAATATTTGGTTTAGGATTTATCATCCAGAACTATACATCTAGCTTTAGTTGATCACTTTTCTTCAGAGTACCCTGAAGATCCTGTTAAGAGGGAATTCACTTTGTTGTTCTTACTTCAATAAGCTGGTGGGAAAAACAGCGAAAACACACAGGTGTGGAGAAGAGCAAATGTGATTGAGGGGTTATGAACATGGTTCCCCAAGGAATGACTGTTCACAGCACTTTGAAGTCACTCAGTACATGTCATATTAGGTTTTGCTGTGGACTAATGACCCTCTGGTGAGCTATGAAGTACTATGGAGAGTCGAAGGGGCTGAGAACTAAGCACCAAAAGGACTGAATTCTTGTCCTGGCTCTGCTCTTCATGTGTATGACATTGACCTGGTAAGACCCTTGACTCTGAGTCCTCCAGTTTCTCCTTAAGGATGGTTATGTTATCAGCATCAGATAGAGTGTTTGTCTATTTATCTATCTATCTATCTATCTATCTATCTATCTATCTACCTATCATCTACCTATCTCTATCCCTTACCATAATACTGAGAATTAATAGTATGGCTAATAGTGAAGATCTATTTTTAGCTTGAAAGAGTAAAAAATTACATAGTTGATTTCAAATTAAGTTTTTAAATTGTGAACATTTAAGTTATAATTGTCTTAATTCAGCAAAGAGACATAGATAGGTATAAGGACTCTTGTTAAAAAGGTTCCATTAAGCAACTTGTAAAGAAGCATGTGAATGCAATAGACAATTATCGAATATAACTGGTTTGACCTGGTCCCTGTGTGAAGGGAGCAGGTGAGACTAGCCAACTTCTTGGAGACTGTAGGCATTAATAAGTAAAGGACATTTTAACTTTCCCTAGAGGAATTGGGAAGTAACAGGCTGGTGCATTATAGATAGAGCAACTGTATAATTTCCTGTCCAAACTAGGACATTTTTAAGAGTAAAATGGGGCACTACCATATTTGCTGTGCATAATGTGCACTTTTTTGTCCAAATTTTTGAGGGAAAAATAAAGATGCTCATTATACATGAGGATAATGATTACACAATGATCCCGTGTACAATGCACACAAAATGCGGGTGTGCATTATACATGGCAAAAATATGGTATTAATAATTACATAGGACAACAGGCATAAAGCAGGAATGTCCCCGGTAAATCAGGACCTATTTCACTTAGTTATAAAAACCCCTCCCTAAGGTGAGTAAAAGGTCAGAACAAAACCACCTACAATAAGATTATGAAATGTAGCCAGCCTTTCTGTACTGAGGTGGGAAACATCACTATGGGACTGAGCAAATGGGGAGAGTATCAGACTGCGGAAACCTTGGGGAGCTATTTTGGGGTGAGCTGTAGGAGGCAACCTCAGGCAGGAAGGACATAAGACATGCTCCCAGGTTTCTCTGAAGTGCCATGTGCCTAGCTATTTTCTGCTGAGAAGCCACAGTACCAGACATACCAGCCTGGTGCGTCAAATGGAAAGATGAGTGACTGTGAATAAAAGCTTCAGGCCAATGTCAAGTCTACCAAATAGAGCTGCACACAGCTCCCAGTTCTGCAAGCAAAGGCTACAGACATAAATCAAAGAGCAATCTTCCAATGTCGGCAGTGTGGGGAAGACCGGCCACTTGTCACGCTTGAGTGTTCCAGCCACAGTTTCACACATGGACAATAATTACAGTCAGCAGTGTCATCTGAGAGTTATGGTGGCAAGGGTAGAGCTTGTCAATGAGCTGAATGGAGAAGATTATGTGCATTCATGTCTAGAATACAATTTACCTCTTACCATTTATATTTACTCCCAGAATCATAGAGAATCAGTTAAAAATACTTTACCTTGGAGGTCTTCCTTATCAAGAGGTATATAAAACTTCTTATTTCCATGCCTTACTTCCTTATCTCCGGCACCTGTTTATGAAAGCTTATTGCAGCCTTCCTAAACAATTTGCCAGGGATAAACCAAGGTTTACAATAATCACATATTACTACTAGAATGGTTTTGAGTTCCGAATAACATAACTTGGTAGCCTTTGGAGACTAGGGGAACTGTCCATTGTTGGGAAAGATTCTGTAACACTTTAGATGGGAAGTCAAAAGCTGCAGGTATGTCAAAGTCTTGCCATTAATTCCGTTCTGGTCGTCAGGTGTGCGAAGTCCTGGGCAAGAAATGTCATACAGTGGTGGGTGAGGCCTTCCATGACTGGACAGTGGGCTTCATAATCAAAGTGTCATTGGCTACTTTGATAGGTCTCACATAAACTTTGATAGTGCTGGTCTTTCCAACAAAATATTCACTTTTGCTATCCTTATGGAGATAGTTATCAAAGGATTGAAAAATGTTTTTCATGTGAGGCCAAGAAGCACAAGATAGCTATTTATATGCTCTTTATTTACTTTTTGGCTGTTTTTGTGTAAAAAATAAAACATATAATTGCCCCTAAAGGAAATGCTGTCAAGTGTTGGCATTGGTTTTCTGTTTTGCAAGAACACGAACAGAATGGGACTAACATTCTCCTTCATTGACTATAAACCCATTTTTAATATGTTTTGCATTTATTATATAAAGTTATATGTTATCAATTCATAAAATATTCCCCCAACTTGCATTATTCACTGAGGCCTCTGTATACTGAATACATTTAAAAACAGTCATGTGATCATATTAATATTTTTAACTAACTAACGTAGACATAGATGCCAGTACATTGTTATTGCCATGGTACTAATCCAGCCTTGTAACAGAATATGAATCCCACAATTAGTCCACAACTGCTATCAGCACAGACTTTTCTCAGTAAACACATAAAAAGGATTTTAAAAATGAACTGTTTTCTAGCTTCTGACAGACTATTTCTTCTGTTGGGGAAGTAGCATTTTCTGAAGCCAGATTAACTTTATATCTTTCCTTCTATTCCGATAAAAGGGTTGGTCAGTCCTGCACTGTTCAACACTGAAACACGTTATTTCTAGGAAAGAGAATCTTTCTGAAAACTGTTCAGTCCTCTTTGCTGAATAAATATATCAATACATAAAATTTACTACTTTTCAGAATGGCAATGGTGGTAATTCAAGTCAGTAGAGCCCAGGCTTTTGGTGGTGTGGGGAATTCCTCCCGAAATGTGCTTATTGTCAGTGCCTTGCTCTTCAGTTTAGGGGTAGATTCTTTGGCTGCATTTTATTCTATTGGGATGGTCCCCATTTGCAAACATTGAACAATTTCTTGGCAGTTGGCAGTTTGAAGTTTTAATTTTGGCTTTGATTGTCTTATGATCCTCTCAAGTTGTTTTCTTAATTTTAATGTGTTATTTTACATCCTTTGATTCAGAGATTAAATCCAAGAGATAGCCCCTCTGAAATCAGGGCACCAATTTTTGTTGATCCTAAGGGTTACAATAAAGTGTGCAATACCCAGGCTTTCTCCAAGGACAGCGCTGAACACACTGTGGCTAGCTTCCAGCGGTGAGAGCATCCTAACATACGGCCATCCAGGGTGCAGAACCCAAGTCTGGCTCTTGGGTGGAAGTGTAAATAGCAGTCAACTGTTTAATGACATAATGTGGATTTTTATAGGCTCATCTAATTCTAAGACCAGATTGCTCTCTGAACACTTGTGATAAAGCTTTACCCTATCTCTGGAATTGTGCAACACACAGGTTAATTTCTTACTATTGATTTTCTCTACTACGCATCTTGAAAGCTTCAAGATCTCTTGACTGACTAAAAAAAAAGAAAGAAAAAATCTCTGACTATCAGTTTAAAGAGAAGAGTTCTTCAAAAGAATGCTTGAAAAATCAGTAAAGATAACAAAATAGCTCTTCCCCAACTATTAGCAGGGCAGTTCAACTGGACATTTTGATTAGATTTTAAGGAGAGGACAAAACCATGAACATTTACAGGTAGAGTTTTCATATATTAAAGTTTCTGAACACTAATGCTACTCTCGTAGGCATCCCCAGGGAGGCATGGCATTTCATCTAGTGACTGAAAACTGTGGGTTAAGTCAGAGTAATGATCAGACCACCTTGGGTGACAGAGTAAGGCAACACAAAACAGGAGAAAGAGCACTGAAGTCAGGTCAGAAGGCCCAGCTACCCTGCCAGGAGAGAAGCCTACCCTCTCCGGGCTTTTGGTATTCATCTGTAAAAACCATTCTAGAATTCAGTGCTTCTATATCCAAGATAATGGACACATTTTTATCAACAAGAAAACCAAAGTAAAAGAAAACAATGAAAGTAAAATAAAAACTTCTTTCTACCTGAAAAAGCTCAGGAAATGTATAATAAACATGATTTTGGCCTCTAAGGAGCCATCTTGATCCCTATACATTCCTCTCTCATCTCTATTATTACTAAAAAGTAAAATAAAAATTATTTTAAGATTAAATGTCCCATTTAGTTTTTTAAATCATTTCTTTCTTCACCCCTGAAATACTGTCTCATTTACAGAAAACGGTGTCAGATGCACTGTTAATGGAAATTCCTCCTGTGCACTTCCAAGTAAAACAAAAACATCATTAGTATCAATGCTATAAAACAAAAAAGTCTAAAACCATATGAATAAAACACTTTATGTCCCAAACACTGACCAAACAGAACTGAAGTGAACCAAGACATTTTCACACACTGCTTGGAGTGTAGATTTATTTGGGTTTAAGAATCTCCTTAAACAAATTACATCAACCTCACTCCATTTCCTTCCTTAATAAAAATTATAACTGGACAAACATCAGACTTTTAAAATTCTAAAAATAATAGAAAAGTAAAAATAGATTTCCTAAGGAAATTCCTCTCCTAAATCTGACATGGTTTTGCTGCTTCTGTGAAACCTTTTTCTTTGGAGTAACTTGGAAGCATAGTGTTTTGTTTCTTGTTTTTAAACTGGATTCATACAAGGGCACTGAATTAGAACTTCAGCTGATTGATGGAGCACGACCTTTTATAAACAATAAGTTACTTCTGTTCTAAAAGGAAAATGGCCAATGCAAGGATGGAAACACTGGAAGTTCATTTCATGATGTAATTTAAGTCTTACATTAGAAAGCACACCTTCATTAAAAAACAAAACAAAACAAAACAAAACAAGAAAACAGAATGGTGTGAGCACTCTAAAATCATCTGCAGCACTTTTAAGGGTTAAACCTGCTTAACCCATTCTTAGTCGGAGAATGGCACCAAGGAGTACAGCTCACCCCCTCAGCGTGGCTAGTCCTACACCTGCGGTGTCTTCAGGTTGTCAGAGCAGTCATGCACTCTATTTCCACCCCCACCCCCCTACCCAAATGACAGGATCCATTCATAGCTACTCACTACTGCAGGATTTGACCTGAGAAATGCTAGGATTTAATAACTCAGCAGTTGTTTTGAAAAGTCCCTAAGTAATCCTCGCCCTTGGCCAGCAAGGGAACTGCTAGTCTCAAGTGCTCAGAAGCAGCTGGTGAGGGTCTCAGCCAAGTTCTTCAGATGCAGGAAGTGCTCCAGGACAACCTACTTTGATGTGGCATTTACAAAACTTGAAACCAGGCTTCCTAGATCTAGGAAATGTTATTCCTGACTCCTTGGACCCGGATGCTGGCAAAAATTCAGTTTTTAGAATCTGTAGGTAATCACTCTTTTTTCCTTCTTTCTTTCTAGGAGCTGGCATGGTGGTTAAATTTTTCTAAAACAGTCATATTAATATGTTCAAAAATCCACTGCTGAGTCTCAGATAGAGGGTCACATCTGGCCATGAAAATCTTCTTCTCTGCAGGGTTGCAATCCATGCAGCTGTTGCTCACAGGGTGGAACAGTGTTCTGTCCTGGAGAGATCAGAAAGAAACGGCTGACATAATACATGGTGCATGGTTAGAACTCAAAATACACAGAGGAAGCAAAATATTCCTGCTTATATTTCAGTCTATACCCATAATGTGAAAAGCAGACCACGTCCCAAAGCAAACAATAGCATGCTGCGTTGCCACATGGAACATGGTTTCCTGGAATCCATTGGTACTGGGTAGGGCATCCAAACAGGTTCAATCAGAAGCATTCATTCATTTATTGATATTTTTTTAAAAAAGAAATCCATCATTTTCTACTCTGTGGTAGGCATTTTGCTTTTCTCCTTGGGTTTTGAAGATATAAGCATGTGTAGTTGCTTTTCAAGTAGTTAACAATAGTTAATAATCTAGTTATTTGGGGAAAAACATATATAAAAATGATCATTTTTGTCTAAAACGACAGCAGCACACACATACAATCAGGAGAGTCATAATTTTTCTTACCCTTGTTCTGAACCTCTAGCCAGAAAGAGAAATACAAAAGAAACAGGAAGTAAATCAAGGTGCTCAGTTGCCCTAATTGGAAGATGAGTATGGGGCAGGGGGCAAGTGACACACAGGCAGTATTTCAATGTGTGGCCTCAACTTTGCTAGCACTTGCACTTCAATCTCTTCTCAGCCTCTTTATTGCCATTCCTGTGGTGCAATTTTCATTGTTTTCTGTAAAGTGGAGGAGGCAATGTCCACTTCTTTGAAGAAAAGGTTGCTAAGTACAAGACAAAGATAACAGCTCTGTGAATGAAAGGTACTACAAGGGTACACGTGGGGAGCAAGCTCACTATCTGAATAGATTTTATTGACACACACCCCTTTTTATTGTGCAAATTGGAAAGAGAAAGTTAATGCCAAGAGAAAAAGACCCTTTCTTAACTTGTTATAAAATGTTGCCTCTTACAATGTCTATGCTAAAAAAGAAAAGTGCCAATAACAAGTAAAAACTTCCCCAAGTTACTGCTTAAAGTTTAGGATCAAATAATGCTTTATTATTTAGCTTAGGAAATGTTTAGAGGTTCTGATTATTTTTTTTAACTGGGGCATATGAGATTTGCAATGCTTTTAGAATTTAGGAGTTTTTCAGGCACCTTGTGTAAACACTTCTGGATTGCTCCTGTGTGTTAAGACTCCACCAGCTAATATTTAATGTCCTTTTAGGGCCCGGATGTTTGCATAGTTATGCACTGTGTGAAGGGAGGAAGAAGAAAAGAAAAAAGGCAGCTGCCAGCAATTTAGTTTTCACGTTTCTATTTTCAGTGTAAACAAAGAGCTATGCCTAATACAAAGGCTCACTCTTCTGTTCTCTAACTTTCCCTGAGTTTATTGTGGATTCTGCTTTCCTTACACAAAGAAGGCTCCTGAGGCCTCCTTCCCACTTTCTTCTCCCCACTGCTTCCCTAGCTAGCTGGCTGCTCTTTGACTCCAGAAGTTCTGAGGAGCTCTCTCCTACTCTGCATGGAAGGAGCAGTTCTGGAAGGGAGGAGAATGCCCTGCAGCTCACCCCCCAACCTGCCCTCTTGGGGTCTGTTCTTACTATCACGGATCCCTTCTGACAGCCACCTGGCTCCTTGGGCAGCAGTTCCTTCTCCTCTTGCTTTCATCCTTCCCAGCATCTCTCATGCTCTGTCTCCTACCAGGTTAGATGCATGGGCCTAATGTATTTAGATCAGTTTTGCACAGAGCATTCTTAAGCTGCTAAAATTCATGAAAATTAGTTCTATGGACCTGCTAAATTCTAATACACTCAGTTCCATGTATAAGTACTTCTTTCCTCCCTTAACTATCTGTATTCCTTCCTATTGTTACCTTGATCAGTAGCTGAAGTGGGGACCTCCATATGTTTGCAGTCCCCCCAAGCACATATTTCCATGAAAGCGTAAAAAATGAGAAAAGGAGTAGAACATGTTTCTATTCTCTTCCTTGCACCAGTTTGTGTACCTCAGCATGGAAGCACAAGCTGAACCAGATTTTCTGAACATTTTATTTTTTCCAGCCCTATTTTTGGAGCCATAAGGTGATCATATTTTTGCAAATTTCAAATTGGAACACATGCTCTGACAAATACAGGTATACTAATGGGGCTAACCAGGCAGGATATGCAAATTCAGCGTTACCCTGAAAAATCCAGAATGTGTTTGCTGTTATTGGACTTTATGTTCTCATAAAAGTTGAAAAGTTGAATTTCCTAAATCTATCTATGCCTGAGAAGCTTTATCAGTAAAGTGAGGGGGTGGATAAGATCAATCTCTAAGGTCTCTCCGAGCCATAAAATTGAATGATGCACATTTTATTCCCAAGTTCACTCCTGACAAAGACAAATGACAGAACATCAAACAAGAGACTATCAACATAAGCAGTGGACCAACAGATTGATTGCTCTCTGGTTGTAGGCTGAGTTCTGCTCACCCTAGTCTTTGCAGTAACCAGCTAGTCCTAGAGGTGAAGCTTCTGGAAATATCTTCGGCCTTCCCCAGAGCCTGCATTTTCCTCTTTTGGCCTTGGAGGTTACGTAATTGGCATCTTTATGTTTTTACTCAGCTAAGCTTTTCAGTGACTAAATGTTTTTACTGATGCTTTTCCTGGCTGGAATTAAGTCAGTGGATTGAGTAATCATTGGTGACTATGGTCTCTTGCTCTCTGACAGCGCTTGACTCCTCTACCCTTCCTGCCCTTGGTCATGACAAGGGTTGACTGTAACAAAACTGAACCCAGTTTTTCTTTGGAATAGACTTCTCAGTGCTTTGGCCAGTTTGTTGTCCATAACAATCCTCCTTAAAGGGCTCTTTTCACTGGATTGTCCTTTGTTCAGTCCTGAGAGAAGGCGCAGCATGTGGTCTGGCTGTTCAAAACGTAATTGCAACAAACTGCCTCCCCTGTACTCCTCCCACCTCTCCTGACTGCTTCTTCTTTTGTTTTTATTTACTTTTGTTTTTGCCTAAGAAATTGGAAGTCCTTGAGCAGGACATGAGAAAGTTCACATCCAGGTTTATAGACCCGCCCTCCATGATCAAACCAAGTCAGGCAAAGTGCCTGGGTGCGGGCCAACCAGTCCGTGTTGTGAAAGGCGTGGGTGGGATTTTTCAGGTAGCTCATTGGAAAGGGGCGCCTCTTCCAAACAGGCCTGTGCTTTGATTGGTTTCTGTGTTATACTTTGTGGCAGTTGCAGGCAAACATTAAATTTTATTAGACTCTATACTTTCGTAGGGTCTGAACTCTGAAAGAATGAGCACAATGTAGGAAACATTCCACACTATGTTTAGAGTAATAAAAAAAACAAACACCACAGGTGCAAAGATGGTAACAGGTGGGCGAGTTCCTAATGTATGGGAAGATGATTCTGAGACTACAACTCCACACTGTGGGTGGGGAGGCGGCTCAGTGCCGGGGAAAGGGCTGGACCTTGTTTCACAGGGAATTTGGGTCAAATTCCAGTCATGCCCCTTACTGTTGTGTGACCTTAAACAGTTGCTTAATTCTCTGAACCTCAGCTTCCTCGTCTGTAAAATACGGGCATAATATTGCTTCACAAGTTTGTTGTGAGGATGAGAGTTAATGTATGTAAACTCACTGGCACAGTGTCCTACACAGAATAAATAACTCAGTAATAGTGATTCCACTCCCCACTTCTCTTAACTTATTTCTAGTCAGGGAGCATTTACCAATTCTAAAAAATCAGAGTGCACTCAGCACCTGGTCTGAGACTAGCCATTCGAGACCAAATAGAATTTTCTGAAATCCTGGCAAAACAGAATTTTCAAAAATTAGTACCTGCCTCTACCAGCTATGTAGCTTGATTAAACCAGTGCCTTCTGTGTTAAGTGAAAGGCCTTGCTGAGTCATTGATGGCTCTAGAATGAGCTCTTCTGCACAATTCGACCAGCTTGTATATGATCTATGGATTTAAGCCATTTTCTTGAAATACAACATTATTCAGGTCAGTTGAGTTGCCTCTTATTTTCTGATACATATTTGGAGATAGACATAGAAAGATAATAAAAGACGCATTCCTCCAACCCAAGAAGTTGGGGAAACCAATAGGTAAACAAGAAATGTTTGAAGTAAAAAGTATCAATACAAGGAAGACTAGAATGGTTTAAGATATTTCAGACATAGGGAAGGACATATGAAAAGAGAAATGTAAAATAACATGCACATCTATGCATTCAATTTATCAAAAAATTTATTTGGTGCCTACTATTTCTCAGGCACTGTATTAGGTTGTTAAAATATATTGATGAACCTAATAAGACAAAGTAATTCCCTACCTTCTGGAACTTACATGTCAGAGAGAGGGGTATGGGATAGGGTGGTAGGGCAGTGGGACATTGACAGTAATGATGAGCAGAACAGGTAAAATGCATAACCAGTGTGAAAATTTAAATAGGGTGGCAAGGGTAAACCTTACTGAGAAGGTAACATCGGGGTGATCTTGAAGAAGGTGAAAAAATTAGCCACACAAATATCTGGGGGAAGAGGGTTCCAGACATAGGGAAGACAGTACAGTCTGTCTGGACAGTATGTCTGGACAGTTCCGGACAGACAGTACAAACGTTCTAAGCAAGAATGCAGAGGCCTGGCTAGTGTGGCTCAGTAGAATGAGCACCAGCCTGTGAACCAGAAGGTCACCAGTTTGAGTCCCAGTCAGGGTATGTGCCTGGGTTGCAGGCTGTCCCCAGTTGGTAGCATGCAGGAGGCAACTGATATATGTATCTCTCGCACATTGCTCTTTCTTCCCCTCTCCTTCTCTCTCCCTCCCCCTCTTGCTAAAAGTAAATAAATAAAATCTTAAAGAGAGAGAGAGAAAGAGAGAGAGAGAGAGAGAGAGAGAGAGAGGGAATGCACAGCGATAGGTTAGAGAAACAGCAAGAAGGCCAGAGTGAAGAAAAGTGGTAGGAGATGATGTCAGGGGTATGGAGGGCCAGATCATGTGCTAGGGGCCAGCAGATCACTTGGTATGGCTGGAGCACAAGGAGCAAGCTAGAGAG